CCTCTTCAAACTTTGGAATTATATTTTAGTGATCTGTCCTGTAATTCCTGCTAGGAATGTTAAACCATAGCAAGTATTTCATTTTAATTGTGAAATAACTGATTAAAAGCAATGGCTTGGATGTATAATTTTCTTCTGAAGTCTCTTTTTTTCTAAAGGGGTGGAATATCCAAAACAGAGTCAACAGAAATCACCTGAATTGAAATCAGCAAGCACCTTTTAAAATCCCAAACTTAATCTATTTGTCCATCCTTTAAAGAGTTCTTTAAAAAGCTTTTTTATCCCTTGTAAAATGTTCTAAATATTTCTGTGCACTCATAATTCAAACATCTTTTTTTTACTGATTTCATATGTATTATTTACAGTAGAGGCCCCATATCTCCCCTCTACTAACAGTAGGAAAAGTGCCATAATAATGTGCATATTTAATATTAAATATGCCAAACATGGAATCCCTAAATGGATTTCTCAAGAAAGGAACTGGTTTCCAATCCTGGTAACTAGTTGTGTAAGAAAACACTGCTATTGATTCTTAAATTGATGATCCACATGCTTATGTACTTTGCTGGATCAAGTCCATAAAAGATTGCTAAAGTATAGTATTTTTTAATATGTACAATGCATCAGGACAATACAAGTGTAGTGGTAATACAATGGTTATGTGTAACTTAAGTTGTACAATAATACCTGAGGTAATATAGAATATATTTGGTTTTGCCCTCATGACTTTTTCTCTGGTGTCCCGTCTAAGAGGGCCAATCAGTTTGATTTTAAAGGAGTAGGAAGGAATTGTTGTTCTCACTGCATTTACTTCCTTCATTCCTGAATTCTGGATTCCCTGATAGGTGAGGGATGGAAAATTTCATCTTCAGGTAAGAATATTTCTTGCAAAGTTGACAACGGGATGTTATAATGGAAACTAGCCTGTTCAATTAACTAGACACATGTTCACCCAGGCATATTCTGTATGTTGTATTTGATTAATTAGGGCCTGATTCAACATCCATGGGACCTAGTGGACTCTCCCTTTTGCCTCTGATGGACACTGAATTAGGTTTTCAGAATATAAAATACTGGCTTTTTGCTATAAAATTTTAATCAACTTCACCCAAAGCCATCAGTTTAAAAAAAATACTAACCTGTAGAATCCTTTCTCACCCTTCCCCCATTGACCTGAGCCTCCAAGCAGGAAACTTCACGAGCCTGAAACAAAGGCAACAAATGAAATAATAAAGGGTACCTCTAGTGGTGTAGCTATACACAAGCCTAGTTCCTCAGCTGGTCTCTTGCATCCAGGTAGAAAAAGGTTGAGTCTTTTGGGCAAAAAAAGCAAGACTGGCCTGTAGGAGGACTAATGTATTGCTTTATGTTCCTCTGCACTGACTTTCAATCAAATCTCTGGAAGGAATCGTATCTAGTTGTCAGATTGACAACTATACTGTAACTTTCTGTACAAGTTTTTGGGGAGGGTGCATGCACATGGAAAACCATCCTGACTTCTCCATCAAGTTAATAGATTCGCAGGAATGAAAAAAAAAAAAATAAGGGGAAGCTAATAAAGAAGCAGTTGTTATTAAAAGGATCTGCATTTTGGAAGTCCAGCCTATGGATATGGCTTGTCATTAGGTTTTGGTCACACTGTCATAACCAGTTTATGGGAAAGTTATTACACAACATAGTCTACCCCAACCTACATCATAACAATCCAGGCACTAGCTTTGTGATTACTTACAACAATACCCCTTGTTGTCTTTCCCATCACGTAACACTACAATGGGACTGTGGAGGAGTACTACCTTGGGGCAGCTCACACATTTTTCCAGCTCAAGCCTCTCCCAACATGAATAACCAGGGGGAATTGTGTGGGAGAACTGACTGTCACATTGGCTTCATGTGATCCAGTTCCAACCTGCCTGCCTGTCAGGCTTTGTGTTTCAGCAGCAGCTATGGGGAAACTGGCTGACTCTCTAGTTTGTGCAATACAGTAGCATTTATTATGCAGTACAGAAAAGATTGCAGAAAATAAAAATTACCACTAATACACCATTCGTAGCGATGTTTTCAGGAAGATCAGGGCTAAAAAGAAAAATGTAAAATACGCAGTTTATAACTATATTGTTTTAAACTCCTGAATTGCAACTCTTTGTCTTTTTATTCCCCACAGCATAACAGTACAAATAATGGTAGATGTAGTTTTCAGGTTACAGTACCTCATATTGCTTCAAATGTACTAGATAAACATGATGAAAGGTAGTACCCCTGCTATTCCTGTCGTACAGGTTTGCTGAATAGAGACTGCACTCTGTGCCAAAATAGGATAGTTCTCTTATGTAAGCTAGGCTGAGTTTGTAGTGTTAGACTACAAAATTATTCTATTGCCCCAAAATATCCACACTTGAACCCTGAGTACCAGAGGTTAAAAACTGATGAATTAACGCAACATACTATAAAAGCTTTCCCTAGTTATCTTAGATGTCAACAACATTAAAATCTAGATGTGCATGCCCATTGTCACCGCTAACCAAACCTATCAGTGTAGAACTACAGCTAATTAAAAACCTTTTAAAAATGTATCCCTCTGTGTGAAATTCCTTTAATGCTTCCATGTTTCTTATATCATTCTGTGACATAAGAGAACTCATTACAACCTACAGGACCAATGATTTCAAAGAGCATAAGCTGTGGGGGGGGGGGGGGAAGGAGGAGGAGTTGTTGTTTTTTGGTTTTTTAAGTTAGCTAAAATTAGTTTCTGTTTTGAACGCCCTAAACAGCCATACTAGTGAGAAAAATCCAAAGACATTTCTATGCTCCACTGAATGTTCATTTTAGCTTTGTAGTCCAACCGGATGCCTAATGTGACCACACTTCTCCACATTGGAGAAAGCCCCACAGAAAAATCTAACAAATGCATTTGTCCATCATCTCCCATTCCCATAGATCTGGCCACACTGGGTTAGGACAGTGTTTCTCAACCTGTGGATTGCGACCCAAAAGTGGGTCACAAGAATATATGAAAGGGTTGTGACACACCTACCCCCTACCCCTCACACTGGGGGGCTGGGGGCGAGGGGCAGCAGGTCAGGAGTGAGGGGCAATGGGTTGGGACTGGCCATCAATGTTTACAAATGGGTCCCAGTACAAAAAATTTTGAGAACCACGGGTTTAGGAGATAACAGGGGTACAAAGCAATTTCTTCTTGTTAATTTATTCCTCCTTGACTGACTTACATTAATTAGATACTTAATCTTTTGATTTTACTTGCCTGCTTTCCTTTGTAAACTCGACCTCTAGCTCCTCCTTTCCCTGAAAATGAAAACAAATGGCATGTTGACACTTTTCTCTAGAAAGTACCCCAGGGGATGTAAAAATCAGATTCTTTGATAGGCATGGAGCTTCTGCAAAAAAGCTTTCACCTCTTTTATTGCTAATGCAATGGGCTTCACTGTCTTCTGTTTTGTTTATATTATGTCCACTGCACTAGGGGTCCCACACTTTGTATCTTCTTTGAAATGAACACACTGCATACGTCAGGGGTTCTGGGCATCTCTTCATTTCTGCTCATAACCACCCCCTATGCCACCATCCCATGACACACTATTTCAGCAACTCTACACCTCCATGCCTTCCTTCACTTTATGGGCTCTGAAGGTCCCCAGAAGAGCTATGCAAAATGGCTTTGTCTCATTTTGATTTCAGATTCAGCCATTTCGGAGGACAGTGATTCATTTCAGTGTTTTGGATCACTGCTCCATTTCAATTCGGCCAAATCTGTTTCAGGATTTTGATGCTGTTTCAGAAATTTGGATCGGCTGGGGAGAGGGAGGCACAGCCGGGTGACTGCAGGTTCTCCCACTGCTCTTCCAGCTGTGTCTGCCTCTCCCCAGGCAGGGGAAGCCACGGGAGAAGCCCCCAAGCTGCCCTGCCCAGCCCCATCCACCGCCCAGCCTCAGCTTAATCCCAGCACTTTAAAAAAAAAAAAAGCCCCACACTCACTGGATGCAGCAGCAGCAATCAGGGCCTCTGAGGGCTTGTGGCAGAGCCCCCCCCCCCAAGTATAGGACAGCAGGGATTGCCCCACCCATACCTGCTTGGCAGCTGCGCAGCACTGTCTGAGAGCTGGGGTGGCTCCACCTGTCAGCTGGAGCCCCACACCACTCAGCCCCAGCAGTCCCAGCTCCCAGGCAGTGCACAGCACCCTGCCAAGCCACACTGCACCCGTGCCATGGGGCAGCTGCCACACAGGTGCCCAGTGGGGAGGCAATCCTCACTGCCCTGCGCTGCATGAAGGGCTCTGCCATCAGCCCTCAGAGGCCACGATTGCTGTTGCTGCAGTTGGTGAGTGCACTATACTACATCCCCGCTTCCATGTAAATCTATCCAATTGCAAACCTCTAGGTCCCTGGACCACTCATCAACATACTTTTCCCTTCCTCTGGGTCCCTGCTTCCCATACAACCCTACTCCCACCCTCCCAGAACCTGCTGATCAGGTAGATTGTTCCTGAATGACCACATGACATATAAACAGAATAAAGCCACCGAGTTGAGTGAAGAGCTTTATTACTACAGAGGAAGACTTTTGAAATTAGTCACATATGCCACTCATGGTTATCTCTTGAGGAAGATAAGTAAGATGAATATTATTCAATGAACATTGGACAGTCTGAGGTTTCCCAGGAAACATTCCTTACCTTTGTACCAATACTGCTTTGACTTAAAACATCATAAAAGTCACTTAGAACTAACTTTTTTGACAGCAAGCCTAGATAATTTTGTCATCACTAAGGAAAATATAAAATTCAGGGTCCAGTTTTCAGAGACAGGCATTCAAGTTGCTAGCATATAAAATTGGCATTTATGTGCTCAAACACTGATCTGAGCACCTCAGCATAGTACTGGTTTGTTTTTATCCTAAGCATGTAGATTTAAATTACGGGTGTGCAAAGCAGGCCCTATTTGATTTGGATTAAGATTCAGCCTGAATCAGGGACACTAATTCGATTCGTTGATTTGGATCACTGTCCCTGATACAATTTAGCTGAATCCAACTCTGAAGATTCGATGCTGATTCAGAGAATCAGTGATTTGGACATAGACACAGCTTTAGAAGTTTTTTCTACATACCTCAAGGTACCAAGCACATCTTGTGAATGCTGCAATGCTGGGGCACCTGCAGCATCACACAGGAGTGCAGGGGGGCCACTCTACATGCTTGGTGGTGAAACTGGAAGTGGTCCGGAAGTACTTTCAGTTCACTTCCAGGCCTGCCAGGGAGCACGCTGAGGGCCCCCCATGTCACCCCAGCTAGGCAATTGGCCGCAGACCCAGGAGGCACCAGTCGCCAAGCTGTGGGGGTGCATGAGGCCCCCCTGTGTGCTCCCCGGCAGACCCAGAAGTGGACCGGAAGTGCTTCCGATCCACTTCTGGGTCTGCTGCCGAGCGTGCTGGGGCCCACCCCTTCCCCCCCCCGCTCTTCTGTGGGATGCTCCATGCACCCCAGCATCGCAGCATCATGAGCTACCTTCTACCTAGAGGTATGTAGAAAAAACATTTAAGTTGTGCTTATGTCCGAATTTTGGAATCTTTCTGAATCTCTCCAAATCGATTCAGAGGATTCCAATTCAATTTGAAGAGATTAAAGGGTCCTCTGATTCAATTCAGATTCAGAGATTCAGCCACCAAATCGAGTCGAATCTTAGCTGAATCAAATCAGGGGCCGAAGCTTCACACATCCCTAATTGAAATCCATATTTGAACTTTGTTCTGACTCTATGGGGTGTCTACATGCCACCATATGGCAGAGTTACTATAGTGGCATGCTTTAGTACTTGCTTTTGGAAGTACTAAAGCATAGTTCAGTAGCAGCCCGTGTAGCACGTGGTTAGTTTTTGCTGCTACTTCATCATAGTGGCATGCTAAAATGGGAGATTGCGTCGCTACAGCAAAGTAGCTGCCGATCATATAACACGTTGTACGGCAATGTAGCGCATTGCTATGGTGACGTAGAGTGATATGTAGACACAGCGCTGTACCTAGACTCCTGGCGGCCCGAGTGAACTTCTAGTATTGGGCCTCCCTTCTCCAGAGATAATGATTTTTTTGTTGCAGAAGTTTTTATCACATCTGTGGTATAGATGTCTTTAGATAGTTCATTCTCAAATGATAACATTGTCAAGCCCATATGTGTGCAATATTAAGACTTTTTTTGCAATTGTAATTTTTTTTTCATTTTTGGGCCCCTTTCTGTCTGGATGGGGACAGCCACCCAGTTCGCTCATACCTGTGTATGGGTCTGTGTAGATGTGCCCTATATAAACTTTAACAATGGGTGCTTATACTCCAGCAGAAAATAATACCTCAGCTAACTTCAAACCAATACCCTATGGACAACTGTGTGAAACTGTTAGCCAAAGCTTTTATTTTAATCATAGAAGTAATGTTGAAGTGCTTTACCCTGAAATAGACTGAGAGGCTGATAGATATAAATGGACAATATAGCGCACACAGCAAGGCAAAAAAACTACATTCTGTACAAGGAACTCTAATGATATATTAAGGAGAAAATTATATATATTTTGGAGGAAATACATTACATACATACATACACACACATACACATACATACTAGCCAATTGCCCATCAAGAATAACAGGTGGGGAGCGGGGCAGGGATGGAGTGCCACCACCTAGCACCCTATACCATTGCTGCCTCCCAGGAGCAGGGGGGATGGAAGCTTGCCTGACTGTCCCCTCCGTCCCCCTCTGCCAGCACCCCACACCACTACCACCTCCAGTACCGCTGGCCTCACCCCTCCCCACCCCAGTCCTGCTCCTCAGAGCACTGCCATGAGGGTGGGGACAGAGCAGGGGGACTCTCTGTCTCCTCTGTCATGGCAGCACTCCACTGTCTCTCAGAAGCAGGGCTGGGGGGGAGGGGTGCTGGCCTCACCACTCTTTTGCTCCACCCCCTCCATCCCTGCCATCATGTTGGTGCTCTGCACTCTGATTGGTTGTTTAATTGACCAGTCAGAGTGCTCCAAGAGCGTTATGGACAGACAGACAGACGGGCTACGCCCTTTATTGTATAAGAATATATATATGGGAGGAAAACTGATTTTAAAATGTCCCCTTCCAACCAAATTCTACCTTAGATTCTAATCCTCACCTTGGGATTCAGCTGAAAGTTCAGCCGAACTGTTTCTCCAAGTTGGATTTTAGACACATCAAAGAAAACAGTGAGGAGATGGTCATCTTGAGTTAAACTGTCTTCATCGCAGACTTTTAGCTCCAGAATGTTCTGGGAACAAAAATGAAAGTATGTCTAAGTCTGAGAAGCAGATGACCCTGAGAATCACTCATGTTAATGTGTGCAAGTTGGGAAGAGAACATCAGATTTAACACCCGAATAAGAAAATGAGAAAGAAAAAATTGGAAAGTGGAAATTTTACCCAATTACAAACGTATTTATTCAAATCCTAAATAAAATTGGTTTGTTCTTTTTCCAGATTTAATGGGAAAGATTAGAAATGTAATCAAATAATTGCTGATTGCAGCAGCTGGTTGCCATTACATAATCTCTGATTAAATCTTTTGGGTGGGCTCAAAGTTGCTTGTTCTATTTCTCTATAAGAGTCCAAAACCGTAGTCTAATCCTTCCAGAGGAAGATAATATTGAAAGATACAATGATGCACTTAATGTCATGCTAGGCATGTTAGTAGGGACCACTGTAATTGGTTCCACAGCAGGGGGGGAAAGTGCATCCCCCTGCAAGCTCGTTGGAGCCAATTTCAGATGTTTTTCAGGGTGGGCTCTCCCATGCCTCTGATTGGCAGGCTGGGCAGCAGGTAAGCAGAGTTGCTGCTCCAGCCCCTGCTAGCATGCCGCTGCCCTCGCTTCACTCTGAGCCGGGCTTTTAAACTCCCTGCCAAAGTAGGGAATTGAACATCCTGATTGACTGAGCCCTGGCTGGGGCTACACCTGTACTAGGCTGCCCCTTGGCCATTTCCAGCCAAATTGCAGTTTTCCAGGGGTTTGGGGGAAATGCTAAATCTTGAGGTTTCCCCTGAAAACCCCTGAATCCTGAATTACAGTGGTCCCTACATATTAGGGTAGCCATTATATGGTTTTTGTCTGATATTTCCATGTCAAAGATAATTGTGTGGTGTGGAGATTACTGCTAAACTCCTGACAATTACCAGAACCATACCTATTTATTTATTTTCAGTAAGCCAAAATTCAGGTCAAGTGGCGGTTATTGCTGTACCTAACTAGGTGCAATTATAATTCAATATACCAAGAAATTGTATAATTACTGCATAATTAAGTAGACCCAGCACTCCGTCATGATCTGTAATAAAAATGAAGCAAAACTGCACAAAAGGCTGTCTTGTGGCTGTACAGGAAGGAAAAATAGTTATATCAGATATTCTCCTTCCTTTCTTGCAACAGGAGGCTTGCTAGGCAGTTCTAAAAGATAATTCAATTTTCTGTTACCTGGGAGTGGGAGGTAAAGATTAGTCTCCTCAAGTCTTGTGCAAAAAAGGCATAAAATACTCTGGAGTGGCACCAAAGTGCCTGAATGGAAATAGATGAAATCTTGTGTAGTATTAATTGCTAGTCAGCTATAGTGCCCTCCATTTTTCACTATAAATAGCTCTGTATCGCTACTGTTATTGACATACTATATTGTTTGTAGGGGTCACAGTTCGCCATCACAGGCCTTGTAATTCAACATGCTGCTGGACTTAGGGCTTCCTGTTCTGAGGCTGCAGCCTTGACTAGAATACAAGGCAACAGGGGTATTTTTGTGAATAATTTTGGCCTTCAGAAAGCTATGTTCAGGGAGGGTGAAAGTGCCCTCAGAAGAGCTTGGCATGGGATGTCTAGCAATAAACAGTTACTAATGGGTGAATTACAAATACAATTTGAGCTAAGAGAACTGGCTGATAGCAAGGGCATTTACTTGTCTTACCTTGACCTGACTCTGAATCCTGAAGTGGAAGGTTTCATTCCACAGTGGGTCTTTGGTGTTGTTAACAGTTTTGGTTCGGACCTTATGGACTGAAGCAGTTGGAAGGTAGAGGGTCACATAGCAATCAGACTGAGTCACTGTGTAAGAGAAGGACGGTGTAAATAGCAATATATCAATGTACCACATTTAACGTTGACAAAATGTGCTGAACTAGTTTTAGTTTTCTATATATGAAGTTATAAAGAATTCAGTACAGGATGATAGACATTATGTCGGGTGAATATGGGTAGACCATTCTATTCCTGATAACAATATTTTCTTCTTTAAAACCATTACACTTTTTAATTATTGTAAAAATAGCAAATTAAATACAACTTATTCTAAATATATAGCTATATTATACTCACTTCCAGTGAGATGCAGTTTTAGTATGTAATGTCTGCACTCTTTGGAGCTTCAGAAAGGTTTAGAACTCTATGGATGTGAGTATATGACATCTGGTCTAGCATAATTTACCTCAGTTTTCCAGATCTCACATAAGCAGCACCCAGAACAGCTTCACCACCTCATTTCCAAGTATGACACATGCAAGCAGAAACGTGTGCAAGATATGTTCAAGATCAGGCACTCATGGGCATTGCTGGGACACAGGGTAAACTTTCCCAAGAGTCCAATTCTGGATTAATCTGGCTTCCAAAGGAAAATAGCAGGGATATCCAGCAGTGGTTGCTATGGCATCTGTGACTAGTAACTTCTGCTTCTTTTGCTTGTTGAGGCCTTTCTTCTCTTACTACCACACTCGCCTTCACAACTTTAGGCACCAGAAACTCATCATCAGTATAACAAGTAAGGCTTCCATTTATTTATATCTCTGTCACAACAGGCATTTTTATTTCTTATAAAGTTAGAAGTTACTATTCAGTAAAGCTGGTCTAACTGCTTGCTTAACTGAGCCAAAAGTCAAGCTGATGACATTTGCAAAATTCTCCAATGTGTAAGTGAAAGCTTGTTTACCTTCCACAGCTGCAAAATAAGCTGAAAAGTGCTCTTTTGTGCAATGTGGTACTGGTTTCAGTTTGTTGGTTTATTTAGTGATCATCACAGACCACAAAGTTCACATCTGAATTTGCATTTGCCCAGAATTCAGAGATATTTGATCTGGGGGGGGGTTCCATTTAGTGGGCCTGTCTACACGTGCATTTACTGCGCAGTAGGTTACTGCACAGTAAGTGGCTTTTAGACAGGTGTCTACATGTGTAGGAACTACTGAGCAGTCACGCGCATGTGGTCCAACTTGGGAGCACAGTTATTCCCAAGTCAGAGCACACACACAATGTTACTGTGGAGTAAGGCATCCACACGTGCTTTACTGCACAGTACCTAAGTGGGCATAAATTTGCTACCTGCATCATGCAGGTAGCAAATTTACAGTCAACTCAGCATAAGTCATCATAGTTACTGCACAGTATGGGCATGCATGTATAGACACATGCCCATACTGCGCAGTAACTTTCAGTTACTGTGCAGTAACTGTGCACATGTAGACGCACTCATGTGTCACAAAATTAAAGGCCAGAAGAATAGTTTTGCTTCAGAACTAAGCTCTGTAGCTTTTCTATATTTGGGGGATGTTCAGATCTAAGGATTTCTGTACAATCTGATGTCTAGTGGCAACCTGCAGTATCATTAATGAGAGCTTTAATCCTGACATAGAAATATACTTAAATGTGAATTCATGTTTTTGTCAGTACAAAACAAAAGACAATTGTGAATCAAAGTAAGATGATCAATTGGCCCTACCCCCAGAACTGTAGGGTAAGAACCTTACAGAAGATGACCAGTTCCAAAGTATGACTACCTAGGAAGTGAGGCACAAGGCAAGGCAGATTTAACTACCAGTCTCTACCTAAGAAATGTTGGAAGTGGCATGGAGGGAGAAGTCCACTGGTGCTAATCATTATGTTTGTAATCATAATACCCATTACTCAAGCATTCAAGATAGTATACAATGGACACACCTCATCTGGATAGGTTCTATCCTGCCCCATTACATTTTGCTTGTGCATTTGAATCATAAATTCTATGGACAGACATACACAGATTTCCCTTTTCTTCCCTCAATATGTGGAACCTAAAAATAACAAAGCCAACCTCATATATTCTTTTTAAGTTATTGATCCTTTCTTTCTTTTGACTCAGTTGCTATGGTTTGACACTGCCCTGTAAGACAACTGCATTTCAATCCCTGTTTTAATTCTAACTCTCTCTTGTCTGACTGGATTCTTCATTCAATGAAATAAAGATATATATATACCTGCCTATAAAGGGGGGCGTGTGTGTGGGTGTGGGTGTGTGTGTGTGTGGGGGGGGGTGTATAGAATCCCAGGAGGCAAATATATATAAATATTTATATATCTTCATTTGCCCAGTGAGTAGTTGTAAAGTTGTTTATAAGTTAAAGTTTATAAGCCTTTGACACTGTCTCCCACCCCATCCTCATTAAAAAAACTAGGTGACTGTGGCATTGATGCCTACACAGTCAGATGGATTGCAGATTGGCTGAAGGGTCGCACTCAGAGGGTGGTGGTGAATGGGTCATATTCAACCTGGGGGGAAGTGGGCAGCGGAGTCCCCCAGGGCTCGGTCCTTGGGCCTGCGCTGTTCAATTTCTTCATCAGCGATTTGGACAATGGGGTGAAATGCAACCTGTTTAAATTCACCGATGATACCAAAATTTGGGGTGAGGTGAGCACGCAAGAAGGGAGGGAAAGATTGCAGCAAGATCTGGATAGGTTACAGG